CTGAATACTTTCCGTACCCACTGTATATATATATATATATATATATATATATGAAGAGTTTATTTGCAAAAACTGATAACTCTGTCTTTTAAATTTTTCAAAAATCATGTTTTTTTATTGTTATGTTTTTATTGTGTTTTTAGCTGTATTTTTTGTTATTTTTTATATATATATAAAAAAAACTTATTCTTTAAACTTTATTTACAATAAAGGAAAGGTATTTGTATTTTTATTTATTTTTTTCCATATGCATTTATTTTTTAGCTATTTATTTATTTAATAATAATAAACATTATACATAATATATAAAAGAAAATAAATGTCTTTATAATTAATTTAGTTTGTATTATTTAACAATTCAGAATATAATAAATAATAATAATAAATATTGTTACAGGTTTAATATTTTATAGCATCTTCATCTCTTACCATAATTTTTTTCCCCAGGATGGAAGAGCCTCATACACTAAAAATAATCTTTTGTGATTGGATGGCTAATTTGAAGTGTCAATTATTCTTATGCAAATACATATGTTCTTTCTCACATTTCAAAAGAGGCTGAGCACAGATGGCTACCCACAAATCATGCCACGCAAGGCAAAGCAGCCGGCCAGACAATCACTATTTAGACTGCTATTCAAAGAAATTAAAATGTTACATGGAGAAATTGGCATGATTAGAAAGTCCAAATTCCATACATATTCAACTAAACTCACAAATAACTTGAGTATCAAGTGTATAATCATAATTGTGTCTTCATTTGAACCCGTTGCTGCAACACTGTCAACTACACATTGGAAGTCAAATAGTCCACTTGTCTCCTCCTTCGAAACAAGTGGAAGTAATGAACAGATGTAAAGGAAAAAAAAAAAATTTCTTAATGTCTCTTAAAGTATACCGGTTCCCCAAATGACCAAATCCAATGAAAGAAACTCTAAAACGAATCCTATATCCGCAGTGAAGGTTTACTTCCAGCAGGATTCTGAAATCCTCCAGTACAAAATCGTGGCTCACTTCACACCAAAAGCTAAGTTCAGACAAGCAACCATGATACTGTCACAAACACTGTCACTGTGAGGGTGGACATGCCTATTCACACAGCTCACACTAGTCTCTATGTGCCAGTGTTTTTCTTTTTCACCCATCTCCCCCCAAAAAGTGTGTGTGTGTGTCATACACATCAAAACGGTAAGGTGAATCCTTTTGAGCTGGCGGTGCAGTTGGCCACAGAATGAATAAACATCCATGTCAGGAGAAACTGATACACTCCCCTTTTCAAGCAGACGGGCCTCTCGTGGGAAATCCAGCACTAACACAATGGATAGAGACGGCCTTTTGTTGAGTCTCTCAGCTATGGGCTACTTCTTCTCTCAGGTCTGTAGCCTGAACAGACCACTCCCCTCGGTTCCTATTCCCCCTCTCGCACACAATTAACTTGTACCTTTTTTATACTTATCCATACTAGAATGTGTTTCTTTGTTACTTCAGAAGGTTGGAAATTAAATCAGCAATGATTAAAATGAACAATATGAGTATGCTGGTCCTCAACTTGGGATGCTGGGATGTTGGTGTACCTACCAGGCTTAAAAACAGCTAGTTTAAATACCCACAGTAGACTGACAATTCTATACTAAATAAAATAGTTAATGACCTCATGGTGAGGATTTTTAATTCTGGCTCTAAATCCTCTGAATAGTATAACACCATGATGTTCATCCAAAACAAACTGTCAAGGAAGAGCTCCCTACAGGTCAAACTGAGGGGATTTACATGAAGTTTGTAATATAATAATATATATAATATACAATAGCAAAACCCAATTAAACAAAGCTGCAATATTCTATACTATGTTGACCGCAGTGATGTGACAATAGCTTGTAAGTGTTACTCCACACTGAAATCTAGATCTGTAAATCTTGAGCTATGTTTACACTTTTCCAGTCTTGCTTGAAGAGACGTTTTCTCTCACTTCCCGTCATCTATCATTCCTTTGCTCTTCTCTTTGCTTTCAGCTCCCATTTGGGTCTCAATAAAGTTGTTATGCATGACAGTGTGTGGAGCAGAATAGGTACTGGCCGAGCTGGGACATTCTCAAACTGATGGAAACAAAAAGATTCAAACCACAGTGAGTCTTGGACCCCCTTGTCGAGAACATCTTGATGAACAGGCCAACTAAGTGAACTAAGTAGCCTATCTCTCCTCACAGCTGAATGGCTGTGTCACAGCTTTATTCTGTTGGTAACTAAAATGTTTTGGTGACCACTGACTTCCATTGTACTGACAATAAAATAACATTAACGTTAAGGGTTGGCGATATAGCCTCAAAAATATATCACAATATTTCAAGAATATTTGTGATAACGATATTTATGACGATATAGAAAAAAAACCACAAAACGATTTATTGGTGATTGCAGCTGGCAGGCAGCAGCATTTATTAGTGCAAACAAAATGAAGGACATTTTCCATAATTTTCCAATGTGCTACTGTCATTGATGACAGACTACCTAATTCGAAGTGTAAATCTATTGTCATAAGGTGGCAGCAGCAGCTGTGTGTTCGACTTGAAGCAGACCGATCGGTGTATGACGTCAAAATACCGCGAAAGTGACTTACCCCTTATTTACACTGTACACGTCTGCAGCGCGTTACGGCTCCGACGCGGCCACTCTAGTCAATGCTTGTGTTTACACTAGCGGAGCCGCGGCACGTTTCAGAAACGGCTCTCCGCGTTGTTTCGCTAAAGATATGCACCTCGCCTATTTTTGAAGGTAAGAGTGTGCACTCAAATATACTCTAGTACTGCTCTCGCGATACTTTGATGTCATACACCGATCAGTCTGCGCAGCGCTGCTTCAAGTTGAACACACCTATTGGGCTTGTGGTGTTGTTGTGCGCGCTAGGGAACGTATATCCGCCATAAGTCATCGTGTCGCTATATCATTGATATCGCGATATGACACTTTTTTTTATCATGTAAAAACGTATACCGGTATTATCGTGGCTGGTATGATATGGCACACCCCTAATTGACATATGTCTTATGTTCCACAAATGAAAGAAAGTCATACAGTTTTTTGGTGAACTATGAATTTCAGTACTGCCCATCAAAACGTTAACATCATAAAAATTCACTGAATATACAATGGAGATCCAAAAGTAAGAGATAATTAAAAAAATATTTAAAAAAAGAGTCTAATTCAAACCTGGAAATAAATTTTAAACAAATAAACTGTCTATTTCAGAATCTGTACTATTTCTTGGCCACTAATCAAATAAATACATGTTACAAGCTTTTTCACAGATGGCCAAATCTTCTTGGTTCTATTGAAGCTCAAGATGCTCTTTGGATCATTCTCAAATCATGCTGGAGGACATGTTTGCTCTTTGGATCATGCTCAAATCATCAGGTTTGACACAAACTTAAGGGAGATCATGAATCTTGAGTGCTGCTATCCCTTACCAAAAAGTAGTATACTTCAAGTTTATT